TGGGAGCAGCAAAGATTGCAAGATTCAGTCTCTACTGTGCGACAAAGTTTCTGGGAACAGCAAAGGTAGCTTAATTTTGTTTTTGAGTCCAGCTACCAAGACACAAGGATGAAGCATTACAAAGAACAATGACAAGCTTAAACAACAACAGAGGAACATCTTTTTAGGACATGTAACAGGCATCAGCCCACCCCAGAAGCATAGACACCCCGCTACATGCGGAAGGTGTTTACACAAGGGAAGACACAGAGACAAGGCAGAAACATAACTCAAACATCACTTTTGAGCAGATTGGGTTTTCCTTCAAAACATACCAGATCTAAGCCCTACCTGATGTATGACCTAGAACGATCTCAGTGATAGACCTATCGACGATCATAACAGTTTCTACTCCAAAAAGATTTCAGACAGCATATACGCATACAGGTCGGACCGGTCGGACCTGCGCGCGGAACCCGCGCGCCACACACGCGCGGAACCCGCGCGCCCACAATCGCGCGGGTTCCGCGCGCGGACGTTTCGGTAGTAGTAGTCTTAGTAGTAGCAGTAGTCACGGTAGTCGTTGTCGTCGTTGTTGCAGTAGTCGTTGCACTACCACTACCACCACCACGACCACCACTACAACTACCAATGTTAATAGAGACAGCAGCTGCTACCACTTCGTGTGTGGCGCGCGGGTTCCGCGCGCGTGTGGCGCGCGGGTTCCGCGCGCGTGTGGCGCGCGGATTCCGCGCGCGTGTGGGGCGTGTGGCGCGCGGGTTCCGCGCGGTTTCTGTGCTAGTAGTATAGCACACACCACTCACAGAAATTATTTCGGGGTATGGATCAGGGGGGGCTGAATCAAAGATGCTTTTTGAGAAGCAGATGGCAGTTGTTGTAATGACAGCAGCAGCACTAGTAGTAGTGGGGGCAGTGGTGGTGGTAGTAGGAGGTTGTAATTCTAGTGGTAGTAGTAGTAGTAGTATCACTCCAACATGTCCTCACCCACTGCGCGCCTATGCAAAATCAACCATACATGATCTATCCCTAAAGAAAGGCAAGCAAATTTGGCAAGCGTCTGCAGAGCCCTTCGCGCTCCAAACTCAACATAGGCAGTGATGTGAACAAGTCCTTGAACTCTTCCTCAATCAGATTGAGGGCGATGGATGGAGGCATCCATGAAGCAAGAGACAATTGACAATTGAAATGATGAAGTGCTTGGCAATTGATCTGTGATGTGAAAATTTTGCTGCCACTTGATCATGTGAATCATGTGGGTGAATGTTGCTGTCAAAGCCCAACTGCTGCAACCATGAAGGCAATGTGTCAATGAGCAATATTGCAAGACCAAGCTCACAAAAGGCCCACAAAAGCAAGACCTTCACCCCCCAGACACCCCAAGGCCCCTGCAACAGTCATCATTGTAGTAGACGTGGCGCTACACCAGGCCTCAACAAAGTGCCAAAATACCAACACTAGGACACTAGGACCTAAACAAAGTTGAGCATAGAAGATGAAAAAGGATAAAGTGAAAAGCTGCCATGGTCCATGGTGATGATTGCCACTCTGAGATCCAGGCCTCAACAGTCATCCCATGGCCCCATCACCCACTAATTGCAAATTGAAAATTGAAAAAATGAAAATTTGAATTGTGCAACCAACTGCCAATTGAAACTTGAAAAAATCAATGAACAACAAATAGCAGCAGTGAGCAAGAAGGCCGGGCAAGAGTAGCAGCAAAAAGGGACAACACTTGGTGCACTTTTGGAGGGTCTGTTTTAAGGAAAATGTGTTTACTGACTGTTACAGCTATTAGGCAGCACCCAATATATATATATAGACAAGTGCGTTCTCTTTTCAACCAAGAACATTTCTTCAGGGCTGTCGAACTTGCTTGCCATTCCAACCTCTTGTCTGAAGCCTAGAGATTTGGTGAAGTGCAACAACATTGTTCTATCCAGAAACCAACTCAAGCTGAGTCACAAGGGCACCAGGAAAGCGGCTTTGAAAGGATTGGAGGTACAGCTGCAATCGGCTCAAAGGTTTCGGCTGATCAAGACGACGCCACTTCTGCAGCTTCACATGCTCTGGACGGCAACGTTGAATGAGAAGTCCTGTCTGAGACATGAGTGAACAAAAACAATTGCAGTGTAGGCCTTCTTCTTGTCCTGTGATCATGGTGCTTTGTGCTTTTGAGTGCCAGTGTCCCGAGTTCCAGTTTTGTGAGCTAAACACTTTGCCAGGCGACTACGGTCCCTCCAAAAAGAAAACACTTGTGTAGTGGGCAGGTATGGGTATATACATGTATATAATACTTTGCAAGGTACTGTATATGCTGTTCTAACGCGTTTGTCTACGGCAACATTTCGGTCTGGCATTTGCCATCTATGGAGAGGATCCAATAAAAGGTTGCACATGAATCTGAGAATCGTCTCCCCGTCGACCAAGCGCTATCATCATCTGGATCCGGATAGTCTTCAGTCTGCATGTCAGAGCATTGAACTTCGACAGAGGCTTTCTCGATCGTTGATTCTGGCGCAGATTCCGCGACAATGGGATGATCGACTTTCTTCCACCTCTGTGGAGGTGAGGGTACTCTCCGTAGAAGGCCTCTGATTTCTGGAGGCACTGAACTCCAGTCTTTCTGAACTCTAGTGGACTTGTAGAACTTTCTTTCTGAGCGCTGTGGCTCAGCAGGTGGCCTTCTCTCTTTCTCTTGCTGAATTCCATGCAAGTGTGTAGAAGTGGCTTTGCCAGCTTCTGTCGGAGCGGAGCCTGAACGAGTTGGCAAGGAAGGAAGGCACTCAGAGTCCAAGAAAGAAGGTGAAGTCATCGCCCAGTCAGGAAGCAAATCTGCCAAGTCCTCATCAGTATTCATCGTAGTATGTAGTACATTCTGATGTTCATTCTGATGTTCAAGTGCCCAGGTGGACTCGTTTTGGGCCTTCTCGTTCTCTGCACTTTCATCAGTCAGGACAGATCCCATTTGCAGCACACTCTCATCAACACCTTCCCTTCCTGGAGTCTCTGTCCAGACAGGCACAACTGCATTGGAGATCGGTTGCCCATCCACCCGAAGAGAAAAACCCGCTAGCTCGATGAGATCTGTCGACTTCTTGAGTTGAGGCTTGCGAGGCGGGTGTTTTGGAGTTCTGCGCTTTGCAACGTTCGGAGGGTCTCGTATTGCAACATTCTTTGGTGACACATCAGGTAGAGTTTCTCTTGTCGGCGGAGGGTCTCCAAGCTGCTGGCCGAAGAGCTCGAGTGGCAAAGAATAGAGATCCAGCTCAGCTCGGTCCTTGTCGAGATGAACAAAGCGAACATGCTCGGATCGGGGGTCTTTGCTTTGTCGCGTTCGGTCGTCCTCGTGCAGATCATTCAATAAAAGCCGTCCTTCAACAAAGGTCGCAGATCGTGCAGATGCCGAACTGTTGGGAGTTTCTGGCCTTGAGGATGATGCATCATGCAGACTTGGTTTGCTTGTCCAAGTGGGATGTTTGTTGCATGTTCTTTTTGCAGCGTGAGGTTCCATCGATCCTGAGCTGGAGGCTTGTGGAGAAGGAACTGTGCGAGGAGGGGCAATTGTACGAGGTGATTGTAAAGTAGGTGAGGCAACTTGCTCTGCTTTGAAGCGCACACAACTTGCGCTGCCATGGCTTGACACCAGCGACGTCGTGCTCATGGATTGGAGATCTTCAGCCACTCCAAGCCAAGCTGCCACAGAAACTGAAAAGATCTACTCTTGACTTTGGCAAAAATTCAGGTTCAAGTTGTGTATATACATATGTTTACACGACCAAACCTCCCTCACAAGCTCAGCGCCCAAGAAGTTGAGCCAAACCTCCTACCTCAGAGCAAACGCAAAAGCAAATTTGCAAGAATAGTTGGAAAACTCCAAATGATATTGTTATGGCGGGTTTAAGTCCAGCACAGCAGTCCCCTGCGGCAACCTGTTGTCGCAACGATGTCAGGTCATGAAACAAGTTCTAACACTCAAGCTGTTCTGCAGTAGAGGATGTGCACCTGCCAAGTTGTCTCAAAAGATCACGTTCTGCAGCCACACAGACTCTGGCCTTGGTGTAATGCCAATGTGCCGATGTGCCACGCGTCACTGTCACCAATGTGCATTCCTCCTAGTTCTCCCCACAACTCAAAAAAACATCGAGCTCCGCTGCTGATCTGTCGTCGCAGTTGGCCAACCTAATACGCAAGTCAGTCAAGGGTCATGGCAGAGTCATGGCACGTTCATTTCCAAGTTGTTCAACCATGCCAGCTGTACAGTGAAACCATGTCCTCATCTTTGCTTCGGCACAGCATAGTTACAGCGCCTTTCAAGCGCCAAGCTCACGCAGCGGATGTGATATAGCAACTGCAAACTTCAGTACTTGCAACAAGCGCCTTGACAAAGAGCTGGCATGACTTCACCCACGTCGAGAGGTAAAGCCTCTTTTAGGCCTGTCCTCTGCCTGGCAAAGGAAAGTGCCACCCAATAAGGGATTGGCAATAAGAAGCCAAACACATAGTCGCAAGAGCCGCGAGACCCACAAGACCCATGTGGTAGAAGTGCCCCTAATCAGTCAATTCCTACAACAACATGCCGAGTTCAACTTTTGACACAGCTCGAACGGCACGGACCGAGCTGCAGCAGCTTTCAACGATGGCCGCCTTCAGGCGGCCGTAATGGCCGCGGTGGAAACATGGAGAGTTCACTCCGGATCAAGTTCACGGAATCATTTTTCAGCGGATAGTTTTTTTTGTTGAACTGAAAGGTGAACACACTCGCCAAACAGCCAGCAGCTCCTGCTTCGTCGTAAGCAGGCTGAGGTCAACACAGGTTTCCAAGGTCCTCCATCCGGACCGACCACCGGTTAGATCAAAGCGACCGTAAGTGGTCCTTAAAGGAAAATGCCATGCACCAGATCGCTCATCTGGAACGCGATAGGAACGCGCATTGTCGAAAATGTGCGCTACCGTTCCACCTCAGGTGGGCAAAAAAAGACCGCAATTCGCTTTCCACAGAAGACAGAAATCATCAAATTCAACTGACCAAAACCAAGTCCAGCTCCAATGGCCAATCATGCTGTCCTGGGCTCGAACATTTCCGCCGAGCAACAAGTCGTCCACGTGGGAGATCACAATGCCCTCCAAGCGTGAGTGATCCTCTGACCACTTTGTTGAGCTTGAGATACCACAGTCGGAGCATCATTACGAATCTTCGCCAAGTTTTGTGGCCAAACGGAAGCTTTGGCTCATTTCCTCTGACATTTTCCAGAAACAACTCCCCTGCACCCTCCATGTAGGCATCGACCTTCAAGAAGGCTGACTTGACGTCCCACTCATCAAGCACCAGTGCAGCTTCTTATCCATGGACTTCTTGGCGATGCTGGCAGTGTAGACAAAAAGGAATTGTTGAGAAATTCTGGAACCAGTAGCGCGTCTTTCTCGCCATATGCAATAATGTCCTTGTAGCCGGGCGCGATGATGCGAGCCCAAGCTTTCACTGGAAGAGGGTTTCGGGACGTCCTCAGACTCTCATGCCTGTCTGTGAAGACATAGCAGGCTGTCAAATTACGACATCCTGGTTCTGTCCCAATCTCCTTTCGCGCCAACACAGACTCATCGGGAGACAAAGCCTCGATTGCATCTCTCCCCCACACAGCCCAAGCCCCGTTAAGCAGCTTCAGTGCCTTCTCCTCTTCACTCATCTGTCGCCAACAGAACTCTTTGCGAGTTGCTTGAGAAGCTTGCACTTCATGTTCAGAAGGTGACCCAGTCGGCCACATCAACCCAAGCTTCTGCTGCGCACCCCATTCAGAAGCGGAAGGCAAGTTCCAGCGTCCACCCAAGTTGCATGATCTTGGACGGCACTGTCCAAACCATAAGGCGATCCAAGCATGCCTCACAATAGGCCTTGCTCAAGGGATGCAGGTTTGGCTGGTGAAGTCTGGAAAGAACCTCCTCCTTGGTCAAAGCCAAAACATTGTGCACTCTCTCGTTCTGAAGTGTCTCTTGTCCTGACGAAACAAGAAGCAAAGGGTGAAGTGAATTCCACCTCCTCACCAACCCCTGTCCTCCTCCGGGCGTTGCCCACCAGAGACAGTGTGTCAGCTCAATCTTTGAGATCGTGGCCGGAAGGTCCGCAAAGATCATCCTCCTTGAACTCAGTCAGTGAGCTCATGCACAAAGCTCTCGAAGCGCCAAGCAGCAAGGTGGGCCACGTGGTCCAAGCAACAAGGAGCAGCGCAGTGGTCGCCACTGACACAGCTCGAACCGCACGGACCGAGCAACCTTAAGGCCGAGGCGCCTTCAAACGGCCGGAATGGCGGCGGTGGAAACATGGAGGGTTCACTCCGGATCAAGCTCAAGGAATTGAAGTCTAGGTTCCTTTTTGTTTCAGATTTTAGTCGAATGGATTTGAAAGGCTAGTTTGCATGATTTGAAGGACTCGAAGCGCAAGCGCTCCAATCGCAAGCCAGCGTCACAAGCCAGCTACAGCGCCAATTACTGCGTCATAATCTTGACTGTACAAGCGGCGAAGCTTGGACTGTGAAGATGCAGTACCTCATGTGACGACGAAGGATCAAATGTACAACCTTCGAAGTTGTCCAATGTTCCAGATGGGATTTGCTCAGACGCTTTTATGATCTTTTATGTAGATGTTAGTTCAGGAACGCGGCGAACTAAGAAGAATACAATGAATTCTACAATGCACACTCCCGCAAAAAGGCTTTGAGTTTCTGGCACTCTTCAACCTTCAGCGAAGGAAACCTGACACTAAACTCTTGCATGAGACTCGTGCTATTTCAGGGAAGATGCATCAGATTAATTGCGCAGCTTCGCCTTGTGGATATATGCAGACTACGCCGGGCACAGGACACACAAACTGTGCTTCCTGGAGGCAAGTCCTTGGCACAGCAACTCAGACTCCACTGGTAGTTGAGTCAAGTACCAAAGGTACTTTGAGCCTGTATATATACTATGTGTGTCCACTGCAATATTCAAGATGCTCTAAACAAACCTCTCGCCTAATCTTCGCTTGAAGCACAGAGGTAGGTTTGACAAAACTGGATGGACTGCTCACTTGTGGCTCTTCTTGTTGGACACACGCAGTATCCAAATCCCACTTGCTGTACTGTAAATGTAATGTGAAGGCAAATAAATGCGCATTCACATTTTGATGACTTCTATGCCTTGAAGTAGGGAAAGAGGTACAAATACGTGCGAAATATAACGCAAATGACAGATTTGCCATTCATCTGCAAAAATCAAACGTGAACCGCACCCAACTCGGTCCCGTACTGAAAGGGATGCGACAGGTGAAATGCCTGGTCTCACCACCTGGGGAAAGTTGGCAAAATGAGGTGTGAGGAGTGGGATCCGTGGGATCAGGATCCGACCAAAGCATCCCGGGCATCCTTCAAAATGCAAGCAATCTAGAATCTAGAGCCCGACCCAGTGGTTCATGGCCTCTCTGAGTATTGCTGCAGCAGTGAGGTCACTGGGCAGAGACAGAGCAACCTGCACATGATCGAATCAGGAGTTCTCTACACTAGGACTACACCTTTTGAAATGTTATTAGAATATGGAATTCTAGATATTTATATGAATGAATATACAGCCTCGGTTAGAATTAGAATATGCGCAAATAAGAACAACAAATACCAGCAACACACAAGTAGACTCATAACGAGCTACGGGACTAGCCGGTGTAACTAAAGTAACTAAAGCACAATGGTTCTTGCCCGTCTGTCTTGGCAGTATGTGTGCACGTCGAATTCTCAGAGAGGCTCTGACATCTTTGGCTGGGAGGACCACAAAGTCGACCTCTCGAGACTCCGGCGACTCACCAATTGGACGCTACTAGGGGCTCCTGGCATCGCTACTAGGAGCAAGGACGCTATTAGGGGCTCCTGGCCTTACTGGTCGGATTGACACGAACCCCGGCCTCCTCGCCATTGAGAAGCTCTTGAAGGAACGTCAGCTGGTCAGGGCCACAGCTTCCAGCCTTAGTGAGCAGCATCACAAAGCAACAATCAAGAACAGTGGCAACACTGCTGCTTCCAGCCTCAGATGTCAACAGCACTCCAGAAAAATGTACCTTACCAGAAATGCCAGCAGGGCTGTGACAAAGGGAAGGGCTGAGAATGTTCTTGCAGCCCAAGATTCTTCAGGGAAACTCGATCGTAGTTTAGCGCCTATCCAATTCATCATAAACGGATCCATTGCACCTTGGTGTGAAGAATCGATTCTGAGCGATTTGCCTTGTCAATCGTGGCTGAGAAATCCAAGGAACCGAATCTCAGCTCACTGATCCTCAGCTGCATCACGTCTCTTCTTGCATAACATGTGACACGTTGCTACTGCTACTGCCCTATAAAAAATAATGCATCAAGGATGGCAAATCGCAGCAACAAACAGCTGCTTGCGCCCTCAGATCTCAGCCAACAAACCCAACAAATCCAAGATTCTTCTCATCAAGTGTTTCAAGAGCCACTGCAGTTTTCGTGTCCTGTCCACAAACGATTCAAACCAAGTGCGCATAAGACCAACGGTTTCCTGCCTGGCCAGTGGCTGCTTGCCACACATGTCCTGGATGGTGCAGGTCGCATGTGTCTAAGGCTAAAGGCAATGAACATGTCTTTATTGAATCCCAATACCGCCCACATATTCCGCTTGGGTGCATCAAGAATCTCAATACCGCCTTCGTCCCTTCTCCGTCGAGCCGGCACTGCCAGAGCAGCGGCCAATGCAAGCTTGGAACGCAGACGTTGTCCGGTCAACTTCCTCCTAAGGGCTCGAAACGAAAAACATGGGGGCAAGGATCTGGGGGTCTGCTCTTGGCGCGGAAGAAATAATATTGAATTCCAAAAATGCAAACAAGTGGTTTTGAAGGACGTGCCTTCTGCTTTGCACGGCGTCGCAATTGGTGGCCAACGCATGTGCCACATGTTGCTGCCTTGAAGTGCACGTAAGTGTCACCTTGGACAAGGGTGATGCACCTCTGCACAAAACTCCATTAAAGCCCACTGCGTCCGAGATTCTGTCTGCCATTCAAGCCAGAGTCGATGGCTAAACATGTGAAGTGTCAAATACTGAGTATCGGTGATTGCCACTTTGCAGCAACTTGCCACAGAAGTTTCTGATCATGATTCAACCCCCCAAAAGAATCGGTACAAATGTGGTATTCATAGCTAGTCATCACGATTTGCGACGCGTCTAGCTTGAGCACGAAGCAACTGCAAGCATGCAGCATGTAAGCCAGTGAAACACCTTGAATCGTGTTCTGGGTCGCATGTACAGTCATGAACATCACTTCAAGCTACCTGAACCAAAAGGTTGCTCCCTCGCATCCTTTTTTCCTTTTGCATCTATTGGTGGATGGTCCTCTCAGGCCTCAGGTGCTGGAACTTCGCTCTAGTCCAGCCCGAGGTCGAGAATCAAACTATACAGATATACAAGGAAAAGGTTCTGGCCGAAGAACATAACCAAGAACCGAGTAAGGCAAAAAACCCATTACATGCAAACTACTCTCATCGAGAGGTGGAGGGGAAAAGATCGATGGTCGTAGACACGGCCACCAAAGTAAAGACCAGAGAACATGTTAACAACATGCAAAATTCGCTCTCATCCATAGGTGAGGAGCGGTGTATCCCTCATCGAGAGGGGAAGGTAAAGGACCGATGGTCGAAAACTGTAAGCAGGGACCATTTATCCAACCTGGAAAAGTCGCGCTCAGCCAGAAGCCAGGAACAGTGTGTCGATGGTCGCGATCAGACCCGGCACAATGAAGACAGGGAGTGGTGAGGTGGGTTAATAATTCCTTTGAGCTTCCACAGCTCCTTTACAGTCGCTGTTACGTTCATGTTCCTGCGTACAACTAGTTGTACTACACAACATCACTTCAAGCTACCTGAACAAAAACGTCGCTCCCTCGCATCCTTTTTCCTTTTACGTCTATTGGTGGATGGTTCTCTCAGGCCTCAGGTGCTGGAACTCCGCTCTAGTCCGCCCGGGGAGTTCCCCACCCTGCACCGGGCCGAGGACAGTAACTCTAAACTAGTACGCCTGTCAATTGAGCTACGTTCAAAGCGGCGTACGTCCCACTCAGCATGTGGTGCACTAGAGTAGATCAACTCGAACGGACAGCCAGCCATGCTGCTGATGAGTGTAAAACTCCCTTAGGAAATCGGTTCAAGGGGGGAAGACACAAGGTGGGGAATCGTTCAACCAGTGGTCGCCGGCGCCTACTGGCGGCGAACCTCCTTAACCTCAGGTGAGCTCGTTCATTAGAACCCCTGGTCGACCCGACCACTCCCCTCGGGTGGTCCGTTCTGAGGCGAAGATGCAGCATCCAAGATTGGGGGGGGAAGGACCACCCATGATCAGAGATCGGCAGCTTTCGGGCGGTGAAAGCCCAGCCGCCGTGCAGATGGTCACTCCGCTGGCCCCATGCCTGCCGGTCATGGTGTGGGAAAACGGTCGCGGCATAGAACGCTGCTCCACACTGGAGCGCGGTCCTGACTGGGGCGCATCAGCTTCGGGGGTTGACACCGCAGCAGTCTCGCTCCGGCGTAGTGCCCGGCGGGATCGTTGGCTCGGCGAGAGCGGGGTGTGTGATGCGTTCTGACTGCTGGGGCCAACATGGGGGAACCAGTGGGGCGAAATTCGGTGACGGCTTCGTACCTGGTGGGTTATTTTCTTTGCACGGGTAAGGGCGCTATGTGTGCCGAGAGGCACAAGTCACCGTGTCGAATTCACTTGAGGGGTGCGAATGAGCCTGACCTAAGAGAGCAACAGAACCAAACCCAAAACACCACCAAACCACCACCAAACAACCCAAACGACAAAGCAACAGAGACCAAGCAAATCAGGCTCATGTCCGCTCTAGTCTGAAAAGCCAAAAGGTGCAGATCCGAAGATCAACACAGAAGTGAAACGGGGCGATGAATTCCTTTCAAGCCGCTCTCAGTACAGGATGTCCAGGACGAAAAATGCATTCTGCTTGTTGGTAGGAAGATGTCCCACCAGAGGTGCACTGCGTATACTTGTGCATGAGCAAGACTGAAGGAGAGAGTGAGGTTCAAGCCAGGTGCTTTGTAAGGTCCAAGGCACGACACAACTTGTATCAAAGAATGCGTTCGCACTAACAGCAAAGTGCAAGTGTTCAAGGTGACCAATACAATGTCAAGAACTCTTCACATCATCGAGACAAAATTCCAGTCAGCTCGTGTCTTTGGCTTGAGCTGCACCATCCATTCCGATCAGAGCGCCTACCTGAAATCAGGCGTGGCGCAGAGCTGTGCTGAAGGAGATACCGCTGCAGCCATGGATATACTAGTGCTTCGGAGTGCGGACTATCATGCAGGCCCCATGAACTATGTGAAACATCAGGGTGAAACGCCGCTGTTCCTAGTGCTATTTTTCTGTACACTGTATCACCCCTGACCACCTCTTGGAAGGCAGCCAGGGGAGCTGGCTATCTACTC